ACGAAATTTGATGTGCAAATATATCTTTACGATTCGGCAAACCATTAGGCGATTGAGTTACATACATAGGTTTGGCTAGAAATTAAACAATAATTTCTTTTCATGTTATTAATGTTTTGACATATCATTTATATATCCATTTTCCGGTAACACCATCTTATATGAATTGGCCCTTCTAGCATCCTTATGGCGCGTTTACATTAAACAATGCTGTCAAGACAATAGAGAAATACGTATTATTTGTCAAAAACACAGTTAATTGTCTCCGCTACGCAGGCATCCTGACAATAGTTATGACAATTAATACGCATTTCGCGCGATTTATTTAAGCTAACAACTAAAAATTAATAAAGAACAGACAAAGTTACAAACACATCAGCGTCCCTTGTGTTATTTTAGTTCTTTTGTTATGAATTTCTCTTCTTTATTCCACAAGAGGTGAAAATTATTGTAACGCTGCGTTTACATTAGACATTTGTATTGAAGCTATTAAATCTGAAGCTATTTTTGTGATAGCCATAGTTGTGGTACCGTCTAAAACCTCCTCGAAAACTATCTGGTTTATTTGCCCGTGACCTAAAACATAAAACCGGCCGCTCTTTGACTTCATTGTTGTGTTCTACAAACATTTTCGCGACTACGTCCTTTGAATCCGTAAAAGTGGTTGATGCCAAAATAGATTTTACTAACCCTGAACGACTGTTCAGCCTGCATACGTTTACTGTCTGCTCTACCGCTAGCTCATGGGTTTTCGCTTGAGTCATACCCTCGATAATTAAAGATCGCTCTAATGAATCAGATAATTCCTCTACGCGCTTCGCAAAATCGGAATAGTTGTTATTTGTGATATGTAATGACGCGATTTTGCCAGAGACAACTTTGGAATTATCTGGTTTAATTCTGTTGAATCCAGAAATTCAAAATGCGGACAATCAAAATACGCACAAATCAAAACCCAGCGGCGCTTTCTTAAAAAAACAAAAAAAAAACAACATTTAAATGTAACCTGAACGGTTACATTCATAACCCGGAAATTCAAAATCCAGACATATCAAAATACAGACAAAACTCAAAAAATCAGAAACATCAAAATACAGACAAATCAAAATACCGGCAAATCAAAATACAGACAAATCAAAATACCGATAAATCAAAATACAGACAAATCCAAATAC